GAGTGTAGGTGAAGGTGTTGTTATCTCTGTGTGACTGTGGCCTTCACTTCAACATGAACATGTTGTCTGGTAATAAAACACATCAAACATTTCAAGAATCTCCTGCGATGTCAGAACACTGTTGGCGTATGTCTGAATGCTGCTGTGTTTGTTTTTTATTGGTAGGCTATAAAACTGACTTGCCCTTCTGGGATGAATAAAGTTGTTTGAATCTTGGTTAATCTGTGATTTCTTTCAAAACTTCATTTCCATTTTGATCTCAAGAATCATTTTTATTCTCTCTGGCAGCTTTTTGGGTGATAAACGAACGCATCTCTCCACTGACAGTTGTTTTGCTCTTTGGTCTCATTTGAGCTTTGATTTGATCTTTTTCTCTCGATTTGAACTTCTTAAAAAAAAAAAGTTTTGTCGTCTTTAGTCAGCAGTATTTTTCAAAGTACCTTGACACTTGGAAAATACAGATTGGGAGAGAGAGAGGTTGGAGCTGTGAAGGTTTAGGGTGTGCAGTCGGTGGCACTGAGAGAAATGTCGAAACTCTAGGATCAAAACAAATTTGAGACGTTTTCTCATGAATACCTCTGCCTCTGCTGCATCGTTATTCTTTAAATCTGGCTCTTGTGAGTCTCCAAACCTTATGGAAGTGCGAGAATAAATCGTTGGAATGGTGAAGGCGAGTAGGAAAAAAGTGTTTCTCAGCTATGTTTTATTTTTACTCAGTCGATGGATCACGGTGGTTCAAAGAACCTTTATATATCAAAAGCTTGATGTAACTTTTTCTTTCATAGCCGTGCACTGCAGGGGAACAACTCTTTGGTACCAGAGGAGAAAAGGAGGATGACTGGTTGCTTAATGTGGTCAAAGTAGAAGAAAAAGTAAAAATTGGGTGCTCTTGATGATACACTCAAAAAGGCACGGCAAAAGGGGGAAAACCTGACACTCCAAGCAAGAAAAATTGTAACAAAGAGGAAGGACTTATAGGCCTTAATTATAGTGGCCAAATCATTAAAAAGATTTGGCTAAATAATTGAAAAAAAAGGCCAACATGTGTTGTCCAGTGAGGTCTTAATCAGGGCTTGAAAAACCTCTCAGGTGTCTAAATTTGGGCCTGAGCAGCAGAAGGAGTCTATCAGTGGGAATCTCCAAGCCAAAGGAAAACACAATTAAATAACATACAATTATATTTCAGTGAGAATTTGTCTTGTACTGTTTCCTCTCTGCTGCCTTGAACCGTTAGATTAAAGGTAAAACAAAAATAAAAAAAGGAATCTAGCAAGCGTGGGCACTAAGGCGTTAGGATCCTATGAAGGTCCTTAAACAATACAATTATGTTGATTCATTTGCATTTATGTCATTCAACTTCACAAAGAAATGTTTTTTTTAGGAACATCTTTCTTTTACACTTACATGGTGAGAAGTTAAATCCTTTGGGGGCGCTGGTGGTGCAGTGGTTAGTGTGCTCGCCCCACGTACAGAGGCTCTAGTCCACCATGCGGACGGCCTGAATCTGACCTGCGGCTCCTTTCCCTCATGTCATTCCCCACTCTCTCTCTCTCTCTGATTTCTTACTCTATTCACTGTCCCATCTCTCCGATAAAGGCACAAAAAGCCAGAAAATAAATCTTGAATGTAAGGGGAAAAAAAGAAATGAAATCTTTGGATGTGCTTGGCGTCACTGGTCTGATCCGTTGAAGGCAGTTCACTTTAACAGTTACACTTTATGAAGAATATTTCCTTTTCAAATAATATTAAACTATTGGATGCTGTGTTTAAAGAATCTTTATTTTACACTTTGCACATGTAACTAGAAATGCCTGAATTTATTGTATTATTATTATCATTATTAATGTTGAAGTCCACATTAAGCTTCAGGTGTTTCAAAGACCTTTGTTTACACGTGTAGGTTTGTGTTGTTTTTACAAAAGCTCGGCCTTCATGCAATCACAGAAAGTTTGGTATTTCCAGAAGTTGCCACAGGAGCACAAAATGCAGCAATTAAAAAAGTAAAAAGCAGAAGCAGCATGCTCCTTCCTGCCTCGTGTGCCCGCTCAAGATGTTCTCAAGACTTTCTGCACTGACATTTCCATTTTTAAATCCTGGCACCTGCATGCAGAGAAGTTGCTTGTCAAGGCAGGTTTACTGCTTGGGGCCCAAGGCCAGTAGGGGGCCCCCCCGAGGGCTGACAAACTTTATACCACAGCAGCGGCTTAAAATGTCCAAAGTTTTCAATGACAGCTGGAAACCTCCCTAAGTGACCCCCATCTGATAGCAGTCACTCTCAGTAAATATAGTATATGAATGAATGTTGCTCCTCAAGCATTAAATATGGAGAGACACTTAAAGTAAGCATTACATGTGATTCTGAATGTTATTAATATTTAGAACTCAGGAAATAAAAATTGTCTTTTTTTGTTGGTGTCAGATTATTTAAAACATTATGGTGATCAATGTTGGTAGGAGGGGGCGCCCTGTGAATATTTGCAGAGGGTCCCAACAGGCTCCAGATTCGGCTGCGTGTAACCGACATCACCGCTGACATTGTGTGGTGATGTAGGGATTTGTCGCACACACCTTGGTCTCTGTAAAAATCCTGACGCGTCATTTGGAGACCTCGGGGTGTTGATTGACAGGAGGGAGAGCGTACAGAGTGAGAGAAAAAAAAAGGCCACCACTGTGGAGGACAAAAAACGCCAGAAAACAAAAACGTTGCATGTTAGTGGGAGTTCTGAAAACAAGCCGGTGCCAGAGAGTCATTCTGACTGAGGTGAAACACTTGCCATAAATCATTTGCTGAAGTTTTCTTACCTACAGTGAAATCTTTCCGTCAGGAGAGTGTTCAGAGATGTTCCAGCCTGGGTCTCTTCACTGGACAAACACTTGAGTCTGACCTCCTGCTTTTCATATCAACAACCCAGAGAAGTACCACAGTAATGATGTAAAATATGTAATTCTGGTAATCCTCTGCATTAAAATGTAATGTCATTATATATTCAACAAGATTCAGAGTGGACATGGACATAAAGTAAAGGAAGAAGTCAAATGTGATGTAACAGAAAACCTCTGCAATCAATCCCAGTTTGTTTAAAAGGATGTGACTAAAAATTAAAAACGTCACTTTTAGTTTGTGCGGTTTCTGTTAAATACAGACGTTGGTGCTTTTAAATTAACATCTCTTTTATGTTTTACACTTTGCAAAGTATTACTCACTTTTATGATTGAAGGCATAAGTTGGACCGTCGTTCCTCTTTCTGTGTCAAACACTAATGGCAATATGGGTGGATTGTACTTCTTCAACTTTTAATCAAGTAACAGTTTTATTTTTAAATATAAATCTGACAGCAGATCAAAACAAAGTAAGAGACTAAACTCCTGATGAACACAAAAAATCCTTAATTCCCTCTGCAATAACCACCTTCAGCGAGGCCTAAATAAGAGTTTATCAGCCATTGTTTTTAACTCTTTTAATGTGTGTACTTTGTGTGGTTATTTAAATGTGTTTTTTAAATAAGTTTGTCCAGTCTTTCAAAGGAGAATTCCTCTCACTGTTGGGACAATGAAGTTGATCTCAACTAATCTAAACTACAGTAGCTCAGTGTCTCATCAAGAAATTAATGAAAAACAATATTTATACTTATTTGGGTCATTTTTAAAGTTCTAAATCAAACGGCAATGAATCATTTGTATGTAACATGTGAAAACATCCAAAGAAATGCAGAATATGGTCGACATCAACTCCACTGCTGCCTGTATCCTATGCAAAACAATTTGGCGCCATCTAGTGGCAAGACAGTGTAACTATAAACTGAACTGACAGTGGAGACTGACTTTATTGTAAAATTTGAGTTTCATCACATCACAATACGTTTACATTTTGAGTGTGTTTTACTGGTTAGCTGTACAATATCATTCTGGTTTGAACTAAAAATTGTTTTGTTTTTTTGGAAAAAGAAGAAAAAAAACCAACATTAATAAGAAGCACTCAAACAACATCTATATTGTTCACCAGGTTTCTAAATACATTGAGCACACTTTTACATAACTAAAAGCAAAGTTAAAATCAGTTCCTTTAAGTTTTTATCTTGTAAAAACATTTTACTTTTCACATATAAAGAGCCAACAAATCTAAAGACCCAGACAAGACTACATCAGCTGAATAAGACTACATCAAATTTATAAAAAAAAAACGATAAAGTTGAAACCAATCGGGACATCTCTAGTCATCAAGATTCAAACACCTTTACAGAGATATTCTATCTAGCTGACTTTCACATCTACAAGTTAAATTCTGTACAAACGTAAGGCACTTGTGGCAGCCACAATGTTTTTATACACGAGAAGGCCCGCAGCATTTCATCTGTGTGCCTCTCTGTTAGAAAAGCATTCATACACATTCAGCATCAAAGTTTAGTGTAAATTAAAAAACATTTTAAAAAAAATCAGCTCAGCAAATTAGCAGTGTGTCTAAATATTTACAGTCCGGTCCTTTTTGGGTTAATAAAAAGCTGCGGTATTGGAAGAGTTGCTCACGTCGTGGTGGTCTTTAAACGACCAGGCTCTCCCGACTTACAGCTCCGTTCTGAAAGACAAAAGAAAAACAACGTTCATTCTAATGTTATCACGTTATCTAAAGGCGTGTTCACGAGTTAATTTCCAAAGTCTGGAGGACTTACCTTGCGGAGGTTGGTTTTTTTAGATGATGACATACTTTCATCATCACTGTATGGAGGAGGCGGAGGAGGTGGGTAGTCATCACGGCGACCCGGGTATCCAGCGGGCGGGTTCTGAGGAAGTGGTGGAGGTCCACGTGGCGCCCTGCCGCGATCTGAGCGGTCGCTCTCGCTGTCCAGTCGATCCCTGCTGCGTGCCCTCTGCTGCTCGCCCAGTTTCTTCCTCTCCATCGCTTCTCGCAGGAAGCTGTCATCATAATCATCCCGTCCGCCCCTGGCACCGGGACGCCGATCCCTCTCCAGGTCCATCAGATCGTCACGACTACGGCTGCGTCTCCCTGGGAGGTCGCCGTAGCCCCCTCTGTCTCCTCTCCGGCGGTTATCAGGGGAGTAGTCACGTCGCCTTCGCTCGTCCACGTCGCGGTCGTAGCCGCTGCGGGCACTGCTGCTCCACCCATCATCTGAACTGAAGAGACACAAAGCAGAAAATTAATCAGCGGTGAGAAGCGCTTCAGAGGAGTTCAGCGTAAGGTTTAAATATCGATGAGTCGTGACTTCCTGTTTGGAGCAAACCTCAAGATTAACAACCAGACTGATCGTAACAACTAGAAAGAGGTTAAAACTTCATCCTGTGTCTGTGTCAGCGGACATTATCTGTACGTACTACACAGAGGAAACTACTCACCCTCTCCTGCCTCTCGGCTCATCTGGACGCCGGTTTGCTGGGAGGTCATCTCGGCCGTAACGACGTACGATGTCGTCCAGGTTGTCCATGGAGCGTGCTCGTGCACGGTCACCCATGTAGCCTCCGCCTCGGGGTGGGTAATCATCACGGCGGTGTCCCTGCTGGGAAACACTGCTGATGGTGCTCATGGCTTCATCCCGGTCATAAACCGTAGCCAGAGGTGGCGGCTGGGATCGGCCCCCCCGACCTCGAGGGTCCAAAACATCATGTAGAGAACTGACTTCACTCATGTTATCCACTAAGAGAGGAAAAGACAGAGAAGAAGAGATGGTTAGTGAAAAAGAGAAACTTGAATGTTTTCTGGTTGAAAATAATCAAAGGGAGGAAGGAGGAAGTAGATACTGACTCACTTCACTCATATTTAGGAGTGTTTTAAGTATGAGATATTTAGGGAATGGGGTTTGGTCTGTAGCATCTCTAGGGGGCGTAAGGCAGCTGAAAGACGAGCAACAATACTGTGTGACGTGATTTAGAAACTCCTCTGCAGAAATCTGTCAAACACAGACGCTTTCAAGTGAACACTAAAACAAAATGTTGTAAGGAGCCAAGTTAATAAGTAAAGCTAGAAAAATAAACGGTAATAACCAGTTTTTACATCCACTAAAGACTTGACAATTGAAATATTTATATTTGAACACGTTACATACAGTATGGATAAATACATGTTTGAAAAGGCTGTGTTGAACCTTCACAATCTGCTGATCTCAGAGTCCACTTCATACTTATGGTTTTCATAAAGTACAGAACCTGTGCTAGCACCTGTGTCACTTTGAAATGTCATTACTGTGGCCCTCATAATCAACCTTAAGTGTGTACTTATGGTTTTTATTGCACAAGGAACCTACATTAGTATCTTGGTCACTTTATGATGAAATAATGATTTATTTTTAATTCATTTATTTATATTTTTGTTTGTTTTCTCGCTACTCCCCACGAAGTTCCGCACTTTAATGCATTACGCTGCCACGAACACATTCACACCTTTCTAACACACTATCTGAACATAAAAATCATTGTTTGACTTTCATCTCATTTAAATGTATTTGTCTCTATTGTTGCTCTGTATCTTTGCATATCTCTTGCTATTTTGTCCGTTTTATTTATTTATTTATTTTGTCTTTGTTCATTTGCTCTCGCTTTAGTTGTCATGTCTATGTCATGTCTATGTATTCTTGTTTCATTTTGTTCACCTTATCACCAATAAAAAATAAATTAAAAATAGTGGAAACAAAAAATAAATAAATAAATATATAAAATGATATTCACATTATTCACCAGTTAAAAAGTATATATAATTTAATAAAAAGTTAAATCAATCAAACCTTAAACTTTCTAAATTACTTCACACATTTAATCCAGTCTGCCTCATAAACATCCCTAAACTTTCCGAGCCTCTTAGTCATTCAAACTTGTATGAATTATGTAACACTGTGACTCTTGAACATACAGGCATTCCCCTTTTCCTGTTTGTGGTTCATTTGACTGAATGTGATTTTTGTGTCTATTGCTAATAGTACCCTAAATTATTGCCAAAGTTTTTTTTTTACTGTTTATTATTTCAATTATCATAACCCAGCTTTATTCAGCAGGGTCAATTTAAAAAAAACCAAAAAAAAACAGTACTCAGTCCTTCTATCAAACACTTGAGTTAGTATTCAAATCTTCCCCTTTTGTAAAACATCATCAAATGTATTGCTCTTAAAGGAATGATGTTGGCAGCACTTCCTCTCAAGCAGTAGTTCAGCAGAAACGCTTCACATCATTCAAGAAAGCTGGGTTTTTTTAACCATAGAAGTCTGGCGCTCAGCACATGTACTGTGAGAGTAGAAATAGGAAGTGATTAGTCACTCACTGCGGTTGTAGTTGGTAGGTCTTGACGGGTCCAGTTTCGACAGCTCCTTTTCCATGTAGTAAATGGCACGTGTGGCATTCCCATCGGGGTCAACCTGGATACGATATCCACTGCGAGCTGGTGAGAAGGAAACCAGTTATCAGCCTCTGCAGCGTCAAGCAGATATGGTAAATTAATGTGACTGTAAACGCATGTAAAAGCAACTTGTGCAATGGAGTCACGGCTCCTCTTTATGTTTTTAATACTTTGTTATTGATCCGAGTATTCTAACATTGGGCATTTACACATAGTGGAAGTGGGTCTGATTCAATATTTACTTTAATATTGAATCAATGTGAGGGCTGCAGGATCAGGTACATTTTGATCCTAATTGTGAAAGACACATGTGCAATAAACACAGCACACAAAACTTCTTGAAACACTAAAGTAAGAAAAAACACTCACTGTGGTCTCCTCCACTGTCCGGGTCATGCAACAGAGGTACCTGAGAGCCCTGTCCAACTACACACACACACACACACACACACACACACACACACACACACACACACACACACACACACACACACACACACACACACACACACACACACACACACACACACACACACACACACACACACACACACACACACACACACACACACACACACACACACACACACACACACACACACACACACACACACACACACACACACACACACACACACACACACACACACCACACACACACACACACACACACACACACACACACACACACACACACACACACACAATTATCGGGTGGGAAAATTACATGAAACCATTATGAAACTACCTATTCGACTTTCAGACCAACACCGACACAGTGTGTATGGGGACTGGAAATTACACTCACTTGAGCTGGCGGCGTCATATTCCCGCCCATAACCGTTTTGAGGAGGAGCATGGCCAGCTCCGTTGGGTAGAGGGAGAAGGGGTATACCAGGCTGGTTCATAAGTGGACCACTGTATGGTGGCTGAGCATACATACTGGGAGCATACATGGTGGGAGCATACTGATTGGGCAAACCTTTCTTCACTGCTTTTCCTGCCTCGTACACTGAGGAAGAATGAAACACAGCTGTTTAAAATGGAGAGACTGTACAAATGTGATTGAGTGAGGTGGTAGAAACAAATTTGCTTCCTGTCTTGTTTACTCAAGCTAAGCTATTTAGCTGTTTGTGATATCTACATTTGAGCCAAACAGGTTTCGGTGTGTAATAGATCTTCTCATCAATTTTTCTCTGAGAGGCTCGACAAATGTTTTTAAAAAAATGTCAACCACCATTTGGTGATTTAGGTTTAGTCTTACATTTATACTTATAAATAAATACAACATTTAGAAAGTATGAAGTTTCAGAAGCACTAGGGACCTGGGCCCAGGAATTTCAGTAAAGTAAATTCAGACAGTATGTTTTCCCCTTCCTGTTAACCTTATTGGTACAATTTCAATATGGCGGCAGCAGTAGCTCAGTCTGTAGGGACTTGGGTTGGGACTTTCCAAGTCTGAAAACTGGTCTGACAGCAGGAGAGGGGTGCATGTTCACTTCCTGAGCACTGCAGAGGCACCCATATGCAAGACATCGAACCCCCCTACTGGTCACTACACCTTTGTACTTTTACACTGCAACGACTTGGTGCCACCATTACGCCTCAGTGACAGTCATATTGAAGGCTACACGTTACAGGGTCATCATCACACTTTAAACTGGCAGTATGAAAAGAGCTAAAGAAAACATTGTGTTCAACACCCAGCTCTAGGTAACAAAAAAAAAAGAAAGACAAGGACTACATCGGTCTTCTGTTTGGTACTTACGCGCTCGTGGGCAGCAGCAGCGGTCGGGGCAGCAGGGGCAGCTGACGTAGCAGCAGCAGGTGTGTGGACAGCACTGACACCAGCAGATCCCGATCAGGAGCAGCAGCAGCAGGAAGCCCAACACAACCAGAACAACGAGGAGCCAGTCTGTATGTGGAGAGTGCAATAATATTAATATCCAAGATTTAAGACCAGACATTTTTCCTCCTTTAAAATTTTTACAAAGGTTTTGTTCATCAGTATTAAGATTGAAACATCCAGCAAAGACGATCATCATTTTGTCAGTTTGTCAGATGTGATGTGTCCTTGTTCAATCCAACTAGAAGCAATTTAGTCAGGGATTTCTAGTCACTGGCTTTAAATGAGCTGCAAAGCAATACTCTGACTGCCAAAAATAAAGCATCTTGAAATTGTATGATCAACTTATAAACAGAAATATATGGTGTGGATGAAAACACTTTTTGCAGTGTTTGGCCAACTGAGTGTTCAGCTGTATTATATGATGCCAGAATTTGTCACTGAGGAAGTGAGGAGCCGGTGTCTGTCTCTCTGGAGCGGAGAGCTCAGCTTTCTCAGTAAATAAAGCACACATGCTTTATAATGCTTCACGTCACAACATTCTCCATCAGACGGATTGGACTCTAACATGAAATGTGGCTTAAACTGTCTTTAAGTTCATTTGCAGCACAGAATTAAAGCTACAGGTAATATAGATTTTTATAAATAAGACGTAACATGAGCAGAGGGAAAAAAATGCCTGTCCTGGTTAGATTTTGTGTATGTGTAAAATTCAAAACCATTTTGCAACGAGGTTTAAAGCAAGCTCTGAAGAACTTTCAAACAGGAAATAGCAAGTGTGTTGCTTGAAGCCAACCATATTTATGCAATTGAGACAATGTGCATAAGTCTGCTTGCATTTTTTTGGAACAGACTCAAATCTGTGGAACCGAGGACTTCTAATCGTGTTGCCACGGTATCCAAACGGTTATTAATTTTGTTTATTTTAGTGATATGGAAGTTTAAATTTATTGTGTCAAGACAACTCTGAAACACAAAATCAAAATCAGTCGGTAACTCTCAAATTTTGAGTGTTAAGATCAAAAAAACATGGCCTCAGTGGTGAGGAGTCATTTCTTTAGGCTTTGTGAATCTGGAGAAACCGGTTTGTCCTTCTGCCCGGGGCATCACTTCAGTCTGCGTGTCAGTTCAGGCAGCACATGCCACAAAGAAACAACAACAGCACAGAACACTGTTCATTCACATGTAACTACTAAAATTGAAGCTGGATGAGCAGAGCACTCTGTGGAAACCTTTTTTTGGTGTGTAAGGAAGTGGTTCTCAGTGTTCTTTTGTTGCAAACAGGGAGCTGCAGAAAAAAACTGTCAAGTTAAAGAAAGAGAAAGAAAAATAGTTTTTAAAGGCAGAAGACTAAAGGGGAAAAGAAAAGTGTGAGTTTGTAACAAACAGCAGAGTTTGGTTTGTATTAAACTTCACGCTGAACAGCATGTATGTATACAAAGTATACAGGAACAGTAAAAGAGTAACAAAAGGTCACAGCCAGGGTTTGAATTAAGTGTCATTGCAGGAACAGGATGTAAGGTCTGAACGTGAGTCAACAGTTACTTTAGTGGTTATTATTTTCTGAGACTGAAATGTATTGTATACGTATGACATCTACACTAGCCTTTTAGGAGTGTACCCAAATGGAGATTAATTTGTAGGCTTTACCCACCAACAGAATATAAGCAAGACTGTTAACATGAAAAGTTTGTCAGCCGTTCGTGTTCTGTTGCTGTTGTCTGACCTCTTCCGAAATACATCTAACATAAACCACAGTCCGTCTCCTGAATTCATCATTGAACAATTGCAGAAGAAACACCCACCTAACAATAACCAAACTAAATAAAGTGGCTTGTACTACCTTCCATAATCAGTAAGTCAATCTCAGGCAGGAGGTCAGTAGTGTCTGACTTTCTCTCTGTGAAAGAAAGATAAAGCCACAATTACTTTAAAGTGCTATTTGTCTAAGTTTACAACTAAGTCAACAACTAATGGATTTTAGTCACTAGTAAGGTCTGGTGGTGAGTTTGATTTTTGTTCACTGTACTTCTGCCGACAAAAAAGCTCAACAAAATATCCAGAATAGTCTATCTGGTTGACCTTGACTTCCTGTTTTTTTTTGTTGCAGGAAACTTTTTGCTCAACCCTTTATGAATGGTGAAATGAAAGTCAACGGAAGGAGAAGCATAGAGAGAAAAGAAAAAGCAAGTCTAACGATTAATAGTCTGCCGGTTACTTACCGAGAACGATAAGCTCCGTGTAGTCTTCTCCGTTTCCTGAAAGGTCCTGAGAAGAAATCACTGAGCAGACGTAGACACCGCTGTCGCCCATGCCGTCTGTGCGATATTCAGGTCTGCATCTGTGAGAAAAAGATCCCCAGGTTAGACACTAAAAATGTAAGTTTCACACATCAATACATCTTTAGTTTGAGAGTAGGTCTGCACGATCAGAGAAAAATACTATCACAGTTTTAAAGGGACATAATATGAAAAAAAACACTTTAACAGTGTTTTGAACACATATTTGGGTAACCTTTTGAGCAGGTCCACCATTTTTATTCTCGCTAGAGAAGATTGATGTCCACTAGGAAAACTCAGGGGGAGCTAATGTCATTTAAAGAGACACACACACCAAAATGGAGCGTTCTCAGAGAGCTGGTTTATACAGGGTCACAAAACTCCTCTGGTGCTTGATTCATGTTATATTTTGACCAAAGCCCAGCACAGATGTTTCATTTAGATCACAGGGGGACTGTTTGAAAAGGTGGAAAAGGAGTCTAATCCGTCCTCTTTAATGTTGTTATAATGATATTAAGAGTTGTATCACCACCACCATGATAACAGCCACAAACGTAACAATCCACAAACCTAATAATACAAATGTATTTAGCGCAGGAGATGACATCAATTGGGTTTTATTTCTTTTTACGCACGCACACTTTCTATTTTGCACAGCTGTCTCATAAATTGCACGCTCGCTTTTTTTTTTTTTTTTTTTTAAACGTGTGCTCGAAATATGAATAAAAAGGAAGGCAAGTTATTAAACTGCACACCCTTGTTATTTTCCAATGAGCTGACTCAAACCCACTGGACGGTGTGTAAGTAAATAAACAAACAACAATGACCAAAAAGGCAATGTCTCATTTTCATATTACATTATTACAATTATGAACGCTAAAGATTTTAACCTTCCCCCTCCACCAGTTTAGGAGCGCTCGCTGTGGGCAGCCCCCTCACTTTGAAATCTCTCCATTAGTGCATGTCCATAGGATCCTGTTTGTGCATGTGTGTGAAGCATGTTCAATAACAGTGTGTAAAAATGTAATTCTTCCCTTGGGGGATCAATAAAGTATATCTTCTTCTAAATGATAGTGTTGGCCTGAGTACATCGTCTGTATGTTGCTTTCAGTATAGTTTACTTTCATTTTGCTTTAGTGATATTGTTGCAGATTTTAAAAAGCTTCAGTCCTATAAAAGACTTGTCAGAAAGGACCCTAAAAAGTGCTTAAGTTACAAAGGTCATGACTCGATACTGTTAAAGTGACAATACTGAGAAAAAAGAAATACAACAAACAGCTACACAGTGAT